AGCTTTGATATCGAATAGAATAACAGCTGAGTGATGTCTTCGACGAGCACGTCGAAGTTGTCCCTGAGCATATCGTTCTAATTGCACGATGTTATATATAGTGCTTTTGCCTGGTCTGAAGCCAGCTTGATGTTCCGGTAAGATATTTCGTCGTATAAGTTCAAGCATTAGACGTTGTTTGATTATTTTCTCTAATAATTTGCCTAAAAAACTAAGAAGACTAATTGGCCGATAGCTAGACGAATGTTGCTTGTCTTTCTTCGGTTTTAATAAAAGAATAATATTGGCCTTCTTCCACGTCGTTGGAATATAACCTTGTTTCAGAATTGTGTTGAGCAGCTTGGTTAGATGCTGCACTAGTAATTCTGTGTAATTCTTCAGACATCTATTATGTATGTTGTCTGGATCAGTGGAGCTATTTCGAAGTTGTTTAATATGACATTTAACTTCTTTAATTGTAATTTTCTTCCACTTGGTTGTGTTGGATGAGGTTATAATTCCATTTTTGATATTGTTTGTTTGGTGTGTTACGTGATCACGAAATGGGATTGTGTCAGATGGTTGAAAGTAGACTTCATTTTCGAAATAATCAGCAAATACGTCTGCTTTCTCTTTGTCTGATGTAGCTGTGGTGTTGTTTAATTTCATGATGTTGGCATAGGTTTGCTTGATCCATTTGTTGTGGAACTTGCGAATCGTCAGCCAAACCGCTTCCGAATACATTTTCTTCTGACATAACGACGACATTAACTTGTTGAAGTTGACTCTTCTAGCATTTCGAAGTGAATTTGTTAATAAGACTTTCGAATTATAGTATTGATATTTATCTATATTTTCTCCAATCTTTTTCCTTCTTCTATATGCTCGATGTTTTAGTTGAATCAAGCGCTTGGATGCTTCACTTATTGCAAGTCTTGTATTCGTTTGCTTCGTTGGTGGAATGGCTTCTTGTGTTGCTATCATTATGCTGTTGGTAATAAACGATACATTGGTGAATCCGTAGGGTTTCTACCACTTTTTGGAAGAATGGTATTCTGTGCCAATGTTCTGAAAGAAAATTTTGTTTTCGATTTTAATAGTTTAGCTAGACGTGTCATGGTCGAAAACGGTCTCAGATAACAATTAAAACATTTTTTGGACATATAAAGTGTGGAGACTCACATCATTTTTTAGGAACACTTCACACGTATAAAGAGTGTCCCATAATAACGGATGATAAATTGTTAATCATATTTTTCATACTTTTTATTGGCATAGAGAGCTGAAATTTTTATCACGTATATATCGAATCAAAGCCTTTTATTTCTGGAAGTTTCAGCTCTCTAGCTAAAACCAGTGTTCAGATACGTCAATTGTCGTACTCGATTTTTGCAATAGTTTCATAGTAAAAATATGCAAAAATCGAGTACGAAAATTTGTATTTCAGTCTTGACGATGTATTTGACCACTAGTTTTAGCTAGAGAGCTGAAACTTTCAGAAATAAAAGACCTTGATTAGATATATATGTGATAGAAATTTCAGCTCTCTATGTCAATAAAAAGTATGAAAAATATGATTAACAATTTATCATCTGTTATTATGAGATACCTTTTATATGCCTGAAGTGCTCCTTGGAAATGATGTGAGTCTTCACACTTTGTGTATCCAAAAAGATTTTAACTATTACTTCAGACCGTTTTCGACCATGACCCGTCTAACTAGACTATTAAAATCGAGGAAAAAAATTTTTTCCAGAAAAGTGGTACAAACTTCACGGATTCACGCAATAATATAGAGAGTAATATGCATCATGAATAAAAAACATCAATTGGTACTCGGTGGTAGCTCCTCAATATCTTTGGCAGGCGCAATTGTTGGGTATCCTCCATCTTTGCTGTAAATCATTTGGAGATTGTACTTCTGGTTGGTCGATTTTATTTCTCTCAAGCAGTTTATCACATACTTCTTGAGTTTCGAACTAGTAGGTATATTATAGTCGACAGATCAATATTTATTGAGTAAAGAAAATTAACAGTATTTTTAATAATAAATATAAATGATTTTAAAATGTTATTTCTGTAGAACAACAAACATTTTCTTCTGTTATTCTTACATTCTCTTCATTTAACTGGCAAATAGCAGATACTTGTACCAGATATATACGCATATAACTCATTTGTTGTTGAATACGTTCACAACGTCGTTTATTCCTATAAGTTTTATAAATGTTCCAACAACTTCCACCTTCACAATACAACAGTAGAAAAAGATCAGCAGAATAACTGCTCCAGGACTCAATGATGAGTCATCAGGAGAACTTGAAGAAGAATGACCATAAGAACTTATATTGTAAATGAATAAACTTTTCCTTTTTTTTATTATTCAAATATGTTCATACCTATTCTGGATCTTCTACCTCCGACTCGAACTTTTCCATCAAAATTCGAACTGAGAAACACGAAGAAAATTATTCTAAATATCATTACTTTAAATATCATTGTAATATTAGATCGATGGTGGGTGTGAGTTTGGGTGTAGATATGGATGTGAGGATGTCGATATGGGTGTCGGTTTAGTTTTTCTACTCATGCACCCACACCCACACCCTGGTGAACTCTCATCTTTCAGAACAGACAATAGTTCCGGTTTGTTATTATTGAGCCTACGTAGTTTATGGAGTAGAAACACTTAATAACATCCATTCGATAGTCTCACATGTTCAATAATTGAATCAATGAAAAATTTGATTGAAAAGAAAATATTTCTTAAATTATTTGAGAGTTTCTGTAAAGCGAAGCCTGCTATATGAGCAAGATAAGCTTATTCTGAAATTTAAAATTTTGTGTTTTTTGTGATCATTATTCAGCAACAATAATTTCTCAAAGAAAAATAACCGGCAGTAATTTAAACAATGTTTGATCTGTTAGGTTTGAATCACAAATGGTTTCTGTTTGCTTACTTTTCGAATAAACTATATGTCTTTAAATCATAACTTATTTGTCAAATCAATAAATGACGACGAGTGACAGAAAAAGAAGATATGTAACCCAAAATTAATCCGAAAGATGACCTTTAAAGTCATGGTAGTTAAACATCTTGCAAAAAACTTGACTTCAGAGTAGTCCTAAGAAAAATGAGAAATCTTGCAAAATCATTTTCATTGAGATATATGTCGTTTTTTTGCCCATGTATGTTCAAATTTAAAATGAAATTGAATCGAGAATATCTGACTGTGCTAATATTGACTTTTTCTTGTATTGCTTATGCTCAGAAAAAAAATGTCGGTCTCAGCTATGGTGTCTTACAATAAAAAAAGGGTACAAGCTTTTTCTTCCTAGTATTATGACGAGTAAAATGACACATAATTACAAAATAAGTAATGAAGCTAACTAGTGTGCATAGTTTGCAATATGCTAGAATCCACTGGTTGTCTAGGGGTCCTCTTGTAGGTTTAGCAAATTTCTGACGATATTTTAATTCGAATACATTCAAGATTATAGAATTGCATGTAGTTTTTTCATAGCGCATCTAACAAACCCTTTTCCGAATTTTCGCCATCGAGAATAGCGATGGAAAAGGCTACATTTAGTGTAAAGTTCAGCATTTCTCTGGTATATGGAAAAAAATTATTTTTTTCAAAGTGTTTTTTATGTTTCTTGAAAATTTCATCTAACAAAGTGGTTTTAAAAATGAATTTCTTATTGATACCGTTGTAAAACTCGTCGAGTTCTATTGAAGCATGTAAAAATATCGCAAAAAAATTTTGCTCGCTTCTTGAATTACTTGTATTTTTCAAACAATGTGGGAAAGCTGGAACAGTAATTAGATTCTATAAAATTAGTAATGTTGATGGAGCGACAGCTTGTTGACGATTGCTTTTATATCGATGCAAAATAAATGCCGTTCTTTAACAATCAACTTGAAAGGGCTACATTTTTTATCTATTTCTACATTGTCAAAAATCAAAACTCTATTTGTCTGAATACAATTGTCGAAAACGTATTTCAAAAGAGAGAGGTGATCGTTAGTTTGAGCAATATATACTTGGCTAAATATTTGTAGATTGTGAAAAGAGTTGATTGTAACATTTATCAGTACTAACCTATTTCTATTTTACTAAGAAATGAAAAATCATCCTGTCCTATATTCTAAAATTTCTCTAACGTCAATAACCCTTCAGATTCTTGCTTTACACCTCGAAAAACATTTTAATCGTGTTTTCATATCGTGGCCTCTACAACGAAAGGTTTGTAATGAAAAATCTGTTATAAACATTTTCTTTTCTTCAAACACTATTAAAGTTTATTGACGAGGAGAACTTTTCAGAGATAGATCTATTATTGTTAATCACGGCACACTTTCGTGTTTGTTTATGATCATTTATAAATCTTGAAAGAAATACATTTGTAATAAACAGCCGAAACGAATTCTAGCATTTTCAAGAAAGAATTATCGTTTTGACGTGGCATAGAAACTGCTGAAAGTATCCTATCCAAAATATTGCTCAATCTTGATAAAAATAACAAGTAGAGCAAAAATTTTTGTAGATTTTTTACGATATTCTAACGAGAAAAAAGTTTTAAAAAGTCAAAAGAATTAAGTTGAAAGTTAAAGAAAGTAAAAAAGAAAATTAAAAGAAAGAAAGTTAAATTACTTACATTGTAGTTGAAAAAAATGACGTATTCGGAAACAGTATTAAATTCTGCATCTAATGAACTAGGACTCCATAGAATTAAGAATAAAATTTTCGGATGGTCCCGAGTCCTCTACATCTTGCAAAATAACCGGTGAAAAATACAAGTCATTTTCAACAGTCAAAACAGTCAAGTTTTACTCAAAATTTAATACTGATTTCAAATATACCATGTTTTTCAGAAACAAAACAAACAATTCAAGTCTCTTTTTCTGTCTTGTAACGTTTTTTTACCTTCATTTTCCTACTTTTTCGACTTTCTTTTTGGCTCATTCAACTTCTTTCTCGTTAGAGTTGCATAAAAAATCTAGTTCTCGCTTTTCGAACATGAAAAGCAAAAAGAAAGCGAAAGTGCCACTTGTAGCAAGAAGAGTAATTTCGATATTTGCGCTGTTTCTGAAGCGTTAAGATGTAGAAGGGTTCGCAGAGAAGAATAACTTGTTCTCAAATACAACATGAAAAACATTTTGCTCTAATTTCAATTGCTTAAAGATG